TAATATAATATAGTATACTGACTTATTAATAGCATTTATCTATATTTAAATATCATCCTTAGTTAATTATTAAAACTCGATATATACATGCATTATTTTTCAAATGATATTAATACTACGTATATAGAATTTTTTTTTAATTATTATTATTATTTTACTAATTATCCAATTCTTGGCAAGTTGGTAAAATATATCTTTACTAGGCCTATATAGTCTGTAACTTTTAATTTATATAGCATTCAAATGAACTATAAGTAATATCTATAACTTTAATTATAAACTTAGATACATATTAATAAATAGCTGTATTAGTAGAAATTAAATAAGATAAGTATTAGAATTTAAACTGCTTATTTTAAATACGTATATTATACTAACAATTTTTATACTTAGAATACTTGTTAACTATATAAATTATTATATTTAAATATATTTATTAACTAATACTAATTAAGATAAATAAATAGTTCGAGAAATGTATTAACTGATATTAATTGCTGAACACTTGTTTATAAAATTTTTCTATATGCAGCCTTTAAATTAGTTTGGATTTATAATAATAATAATTAAGAGAGTTAATGCTGAAACATAAGTAATATATAAGTATTAGCTTTATAATATTTGTAGCAAACTTGCGAAACAAAAATTGAATGATAAAATAATAAATAAATAAATATAAATTAAATTGTAATACTCTTATGTAAAATATTATAATAAAAGAATTTGTACCAGTATTAATTATTTTATTTTTACAAACTATAATTTAATATATATATATATATATAGTTAAACCTGTCTTAATATATTTTATAGAGACTAAACATTTAATAGCATATATTTTGAGATCAATAAGAAAAGACACATTTATAGAAGTATATAATTAGGCTAAATTTTAAGTATACGTTTAAACAGATTTCTCTACATAATTTATACATAGACAAATTTGGTTACTGTTATAAGATAGTGTTTTGATTATATATTTACTTATACATAATGCAGAGTAGATTAATTTATATTATATTGTTTTTTCAAACAATTTTATTGTGAAATGATAATTAGTAGATTTCTATGTATAATTTGTACCTAATAGTGATAATATTTGTTTAGTTATGATTAATATATATAACAATCGATATAAAATTAAATATATAAAAGCTGCAAAATTTTTGTAACATTATTTCTTTAATTTATCTTTCAAATTGCTATATATTGTTATTATGAACAAGTATGTTATTCGTAAAAATATTAATAAAAATTCAAATAATCAAGAACAAAAAGAATCTTCTAGTTCTGATAAGTCTTCTAAAAAAGTCTGATCTGATTAAAATCCCAATTGGCCTAAAATTTATCCATGGCTTGAAAATCCGAAAATACTAATGATACAATTATATTGTACTGTACTTGGTGTAGAGATGCAAGAAAATCTAATCAATTTACTAAAGATACACAATCATTAAGAAAACAAACTATTGAAAGACATCTTATAATTAATGATCATCAAAAAGCTCTTATTGCTCAGGACAATTGACAAACAAAGCTTATGCAAGAATTTACTTGACAACTTAGTGTTCAAAAATTAACAATTATTTCATTAATGTGAAATATATATTACCTTTTAAAAAATAATCAACCTATAAAGTAATTTTCTAATTTATGTCAATTAAATCATTTACAAACTATAAACTGAGAACAACTTTATTTTGAAATAGAACCTATTGTATTAAAATTGAATAATAAAAATTTTAATCAATCTAATTAATCTAGAAATGAATATGCTACTTATGAAAATCCAATTTCTGGACACATATTTCTTGAAGCAATATCATTTACTATTGAACATGAAGTTATTTAAGAAATATTAAATTCAAAATATTGGAGTATTTTGATAGATAAAAGTACTATATTTACTAATAAACATCTTGCAGTTGTAACAAAGCACTTATCTGAAAATAAACCTATTTTACATTATCTTGGAATGATTGAATTAGAGGATTGTAGTGCTGAAACAATTACTATAAATTTAAAAAGATTTATATTAGCTAAATTACTTAATATTGAAATTTTGGTTCATTTTAGAAGTGATGGTGCAAGTACTATGCTCAGTCATTAAAATGGAGTTGCTACACATCTTAAAAATATAATCCTTTTATTACTGAGAATCATTGTATAGCATATCGTTTACATCTTGCAGGGCAAGATGCTGCTAAAAAAGTATCATATTTTGAAAAATATGAAAAGTTAGTAAAAGGAATTTATACATATTTTAGTAGTTTTTATAAAAGATTATTAACACTAAAAATGGTACAAAATACTTTAAAAGAACTTGAATTAATGATATTAAATATTGTATCTACTCGATGGCTTTTATTTTCAAATATTATTTATAATTTTCATCAAAATTTAGAGTCAATTAAAGGAACATTATTAGATGAAGCAGCAAATAATATGCAGGCAGCTATTTTATTAGCAGATATTGATCAAACTTTTGAAATTATAACTATGTTTTTGGCAGATTATTTTTTTATAATAGATAAATTAATATGTATTTTTCAATCAGACTATATTTCATTTACAGATATCAAACAACATATTACAATGACATGCGATGCATTACAAGCTCAATTTATTGGTAACCATAATGTTTTACCTACTTATGAACAAAATTTACTTAAATATATAGAAGAAAATAATCTAGATACTAGTCAATTTCCTATCTTTATCTTTGAATTTGCATTTGCCACAATAACAAGTCTAAATAATCATTTTCCAAATTAAGAACTTTATAAAGCTATAAAAATATATGATCCAAAACAGTTACCAATATCTGATAATGATTTAGCAAACTATGGTAATGAAGCGATTAATATTCTTAGTAATTTTTATGGAACAGAAAAAATTATTAATAATCAACAATTTATACCACTATTAGAAAAAAAAGATTTAATTAATGAGTAGGGAATAGTTAAATTTTTTCTTAAAAATTATCACTCTATTAAATTTGTTGATACATGAAACCTTATTTTTTCACAAACTATATTTATTTATGATTTTCCTGCTATTTCTACTTTAATTCAAATTGCTTTACTTATTTCTGTTTCTAATGCAACTGTTAAACAAGTTTTTTCTTATTAAAAACTTATTAAAACTCAACTTCGTAAGCAAATGAATATTGAAATACTTAATCATCATTTAATGATAGCTTTAAATGGACTATCTATTGAATTATTTGATTTTGAAAAGGTGTATGATTATTGGTATACAAAACAATGACAAATTTAAGTATATATTTGATTTTTGTTTTTAATTAGAATGATAAGTATTTTTTATTAGTTAAATGATCTTTTATAAATTAAACTTTTATCTCTAACATATTAAATATTATTACTTGTTATATATTTTTATTCATTGAGATAATAAATATGTATTAGCATATAATCTGTATTTTTGATATATAAAATTTGTTCAAAATAACTGAACTGATCTCTACTATTAACTGATATCAATTAGTAACTTGCATTACTAAAAATTGAACTCATATAGCAAGATAAGTACTTTATTAAATACAATCAGGTTATTTATAAAAAAAAATTAATACTAATTTTATTTTTCTTTTGCCCTACTTATAAATGCAAATTGATTCTATGCTATTGCATCATATTTTGATCATACAAATTTAACTTTAACTCATGCTATCGCTATATTAAACTTTTAAATTACTTATACTTTGTTATATTACTCTTGTACTACTACATTTTTCACATTATTAATTAATTATTAAGTTTGCCTTTCATGATCAAATTCCTATTTGATATTCAATTCCTGACCTCAATTGATTATTACAAGCTTCATGTATACAAGACACGATCTTTTTTTCTTTTCTCTAAGCTAAGTACAATTATATATATATACACACTAATATGCTCCTGTTTTTATTTACTTTAGAGCTTTAAATTTATACCCTTTACCAATATCAGATACAGTACTTGTTTTTATCATTATACTAGTTTAACAGAGAATATCAGTATTGCAAAAACCAAACTTATTTAATTTGGTTTAACTTCTTTATTTAAGAATTATATCAAATAAATACTGAATTATAAGTGACTAGAGTTACTATATTTAGAGCATAAAAAATATGTTTGGCAATGTATTAATTATGGGTGTTCTTAAGCACTTGCCTCAATGAATTTAATAAAAAATTTGATTGGCTAGTTTGAGCAAACAGACCAATCAGATTCATTATTAAGTCCAATGAGGTAGGTGTTTAAGAATGTTCTATAACAATAATTAGTATTTATATATATATTAATTTTAAAATTTAGTGCACTTTGCGCACACTAATTCTAAAATTTAGTGCGCTTTGTGCATACTAATTCTAAAATTTAGTGCACTTTGTGCACTAATTTTAAATTTGAATTTTTTTCACTGTTGGGCATAGAAGACTAAGGAACTAAGGTAACAGAAATCTACTTGAAAATTCCTGAGTAAAGAGATAACATGAACTTTCAACAGTACTATTAGACTAGTTGAAGCCTATAAAACATCTTCATAGAAACTGAAGATTAAAACCAAATATCAAATATGTATAGAGAAGCATATAACCAACCAGGCCACCAGATTCACCAGAGAAAAAGAATATATAAGTATACATACCAGGCCATCTGAATTGGTAGTCTAGAATGAAACTGATGATTCTGAATTGTGATTAGTAGAGGATGATGAAGAAGATGCCAGAAAGATAGATGCTAAGGTTTTAGTGAACTTTACAAGAATAGAAATAATGTAATGTAACAGTTAAACAGATAATCTCTGTGACTACAAGTATTAGATAACTATAGCATGTTGCATAAAACTAGGTCTATATGTGTGAGATATAGAGACTCTAGTAAGTTTTCTATTAAAGATAAAGTAGTCTTAAAGGTAATGATAAGTATCAGAAACTTGAATAGGTGTAGCCTTGAGATATTCTTGTGATACAAGAAGGATTGCATATGCAAAAAGTTTAAATAGGCAAGACCTCTAGTCAGCTTGCAGGTATGGCAACTAGTATAGAACTTATAAGTAATGTGTAAGTGGACTACTTAAATTAGGCACCAAAAGTGCACATGTGACTAGTTGTAACCTCCAATATAAAGGAGCCCCTGAAGGCACTCGTTTTCTAACAAAACTTAAATAAAATATTGCATCTTTAAGATAGAGACTTTAACTATAAAAAAAAAAAAAAAGAGGGAAGATATCCTTTTGATAAAAAAAAATCAGGTAAT